ATTCAACACTACTTGAAGGTTTAGCCATTAATGCATCCGTTAATCCTAATTCAAATGTAAATGTGATAACTGTGATTGATAGTTTCTTATCCACCGTTATTGCCTTATTTTATGCTAGGAGTACATCTAAAAATGCATTGGGAGAACATATTTTTCTGCATCGCGAATCTCGGGTAAAATTTCCGATTATATACTATCTTTATCACTATGACAAAAATGATTGATACATATGTGTCATACCTGATATATGTCATTAATTTCTTTGTCATTAGTATAATAGGTTATTTTACCCGAGATTCGCCATGCATAAAATATGCTCTCCCAATGCACTTCAGATGCACTCCCTCAACATAAAATATGGTGTAAAAATCTTTGTTAAAAGTATTAATGAGGATACTGTATTAAATTAAACATCTATACTAATACTACAAAAAATAAACTTGAAAATTCTTGGTTTTCAGATTCTGCTTATCTCACATTATATTCCCAAACTATCATTAATAATATGTTGGTAAAATTGTACGTATGCGAAATTTATTTTTTATTTATATAAACGTTTTAGATTCTTAACTCTAGGCATCGGGCTCAACTTCTTGTTGTTCACTAATTGCCAATAGTGTTTGTATAAGAAATTGTAACTCATACGTTCGACTAAGTAATTCTGTTAGGTGGTTTTTTTTGTGTTTCCGATTCCTATGATTATTATCAGTGTTAAAGGAATCCATTTCTTTATACGTATCAATAAATAAAAACAATAATAATAATAATTGTCCAAATATACTTGAAGAAGTGTATCACGCGTTTCAATTAGGTTTTTTATTGCACGATCTGTCTCTGTTTCAGTTATTTCCATATTACTTTCCTTTTAAAAGGTCATCAAAAAAAAAATAATAATAATAATTATAAAAAAATATATATAATTTTATTTTTTATTTAAAATAATGGTTTACCATCAAAGTCTCTTCCTATTTTTTTGTCTCAATCTGCCCTATTATATTACTCAATTCATCTGAAACATTTTTATATTTATTTCGACTTTCGGCTACTTTTTGTTCGGTATTTTCGCTAGAAGAGGTTGCTAGCGTGGCAAATATTTCTTCTATTGTATTAATTAATTTGTTAAGAGTTAATTGTCCATTAATGGCTAAACCTTCAAGTAGTGTTGAATTTCTGTTCGTTTCTACATTATTAATATCTGCCATATTTTCTAAGCTAAACAATTCTACACTAAGAAAATAAAACTTAAAAAAAAAATTCGCACAGTATCTGACTAAAATTATTAAAGTTTACAACCAATCAAATTATTTTCCAAATTGGTTCTGGGAATTTTATAAAGCACTTACTTCTAAAATATATAAATTACTTGTCGCTAGAGATTTTAAATATTTTAATATGAGATTTGCGAATTTTTTTAGAGTAAATTTTTAGCTTTCTTTATGGTTAACTTTGAATTTGATAAAGATTATATTGTATTTTAAAATTTTTAAAATTCATTTTTAGCTTTAGCCAAAATATTAAATAAAAATTTTACTTTTTATATAAAAGTATTAATTTTTTTTATCTAATTAATTGTACTTTTTACAAATTTTTTTGTCAAATAATTAATTTTAAAATATATAAATTTACAATAATCTAAATTTTCAAGTTTATTAAAATATACTATACAGTATTTTTAGTACTAAACACTATAAATACTATTTTTTTAAAAATATACTAAATAATTAAGGTTAAAGATTTAAATAAAATATTTAAAGCTTTTAAATCTTTGGCATAATAAAATTTGAATCTTTAAAAAACTGTCACTTATTATGAAATATAATCTTCCTTTTAGAGTTAATTATTTGACAATTACAAGTTTTAAAGTAATCATAATATAAACTTTATATAATTAGTTATTTTAAAACTTGTAATTGTCAAATGATTAATTATTTTAGAACTTGTAATTGTCAAATAACTGACTCTAGAGAGGGGTTATATTTACTAATAAATGCTAGTTTTTTTATATAAAAATTTTATTGTATTGTTATAAAATAGATTTTTAGTATTTTTTTTTTAATATTCAGGGTGTAGCACCTGCCTCAAACTTTATTTAATACTTAAATAATTGATATATAATGGTGCTAATACATATCCCTTAATATATAAACCAATACAGACAAATTTGTCTGTGTTTTTGTATTTTTTTTTAGCTCTGATTTACTTTTTTAA